GGTGCAGACGCGCAACGTGATCAAGATCGGCCGTCCGGGGTACAAGGTCACCAAGGCAAGAGATCTTTCTAGCAACCAGCGAAGCCTGCTGTTCGAGGTCGACTACCCGGAGGCGGAAGACGGGGCGCAGCCTCGACACCGGTTCATGTCGGCGTATGAACAGAAGGTCGAGGCCCCCGACAAGGGATACCAGGTGCGATGAGCGACAGAGACGTCGGGAAGGAGGCTCTGTGCGGCGAGCATGCCTGGTTTTCTCTCACGGGCCCACTCTGACATGGCGTCGTTTTCCCATGCCTTCGACAACTAAGTAAAAGCGGACTGAGTCGGCGTCGAAACGAGATACCAGTATGTCGTCGGGGAAGATTCCGCCGAGGTCTGTTTTTCCAGCTCCCCCTCCCACCTACTGTCGGCACTCTTGTCAGCGTTCCCGCCGCCGAGAAATCGAGGGCCAGAGACCATGTTGCACCCTTGCCCTTCCTTTGAAATATTAAGAACCCTGAGTTGCAAGTAGAGCCGATGCAGAAAAGCTGAAACCGTATTGCTTGCTAAAGATTGGGGTTGTCATCGTTGTAGATACCCGGAGAGTTGGAGAGATGGCACCCCCGTGTTACCGTTGTTGTATGGCGTATTTCTCCACAACCAGGGGGGTGCCACTGCCGAAAAGGGCAGTTTTGGAAACATCTCGCCGAGGGTTTTCCTGAGAGGTATCGGTTGGTGTTCCCAACCTCCCAGTTGTGGAGGAATACGTTATTCAAGAACGCTAACACGGGGGTGCCATCTCTCCGACTCTTACGGTACGTGTTGTTACTGCGGCTGTCTTTGACGAAAAGAGCTGTAGGCGCTTATGTGACCCAGAAGCCCCGTGTTCCCCGCTAGTATTTTCGGCTACAGATGGCTGTGTGTGGAACGACAAGACAATACGCACACGATGTGGGCACAAAACTTGCCGAGGACCGAAATAAGTGATTTTCGAAACAAGATGCTACCGCGAAGGCATGGCATGTGTACCCTCCGTAATAGTCGGAAAATTGGCACCGGCCGGAGAGATGGCACCGGCCGGAGAGATGGCACCGGGGTGCGATTAATAAAAACAAGAAGCATCTAATTCGATTGACGCGCTGGGGTCGGTGAGATCGCGCCGGGTGCGATCTCTCCGACCCCCAAATCCAAGATTGAGCTCCTTTTCAGCTGCCGGAATGAGGTACATGTGCGTACCTTTAAAAGGTACACGTGGGGACGGTGTCAGCGGAGCGTCACTCCTTCCCGTACAATTGGATGGTCACGGTTCACGCGGGGTGCCAGTTGTTTTCATTTTTTAATTGGTATGGAAGTTGCCAACCGTACACTCAACCAAACACACAGCGTACAAGCCGCACTCCCACCTCACGCCATAGCTGAACTCGCATCAATCACAAGACCACTCGCTGCATGGAAAGCTGTTACGCACCAGCCTACATTGCCGTTAGCGGTGTTCTTCCACCCAACAACAACGGTACCTGAACGTGTGGTTCTATACTGATCAATAGCATTTCATCGGGGATCGCACCGGTCGAATACATCGCACCGCAGTGCAACACCTGTGTGTATTTATTTCATCGGGGATCGACCGGTCGGAGAGATCGCACCGGGGTGCCTTGAAAATTCTAAACGAAATGATTTCATTGCATTTCCGCACCGGGGTCGGAGAGATGGCACCGGGGTGCGATAAAAAACCGAGGAAAAAACATTGAAAAAGCACAATCGCACCCGGTGCCAACTCTCCGACTATTACGGTATTCCCACAACGCACGACGGGCGCACAGCAGTGCCGAAAGAAGGAAGAGATTTTGGAAGCAAGATGCTACAACTGCGAAGGCTTAGCATGTACCTACGTGCCCACAAGATTACCCGGAGGGCATATTTCCACACGGTCCACTCCGTCGCCCGTGCTGTTACCATGGCCAATGCCGCAATCTGTGTTGTGTACGTTCGTGCAGTATCTTCTGTTCGCGTGCGATCCATACGAGACGATCGGTTTCAAGGTGCCGAATCTCAAGATCGACAAACAGGAAGGCCGTTTCTTCACCAACTGGGAAAAGGAAGCCAAGAAGTTCACGGTAAGAGTCGGCATCTGCAGTCACGACTGCTTTCGTCGGGCGAGGCGATTCTCAAGAGAACAAGTCAACGATTAAAAAAACTCCGCCCTTTGAGAGAGCAGTTTTACTTGTTTTTAAATGAGGATTACTGAGTTTGCCTGTACCATGTTGGTGCGTTGGATAAACTGCTCAACGGTTATTTGGTGGAAGGATCAAAATGGCTAATTATATGTATGTGCGCTGAAACCGCCAGATCGGCGTTCAATTGATGGACGGCTTGTGCGAGTAAAGCGTAGCTACTTAACACTCGCTTCCCCTCTCCTGCGACGGCGCGCCCCATGTTGCTCTCTTGCCTGCCCTGTCGCTGCAGCTTCAATTATATTTCGAGGACGAGGCCAACGCTGCACCGCCGGGGCGTTGAGGAAAACAAACACAGAAGCGATGTTGCAGCGATCAAGCATCACTCTGTGAGCGCACAAGGGCGGGAGTAGTGCGCCAGCAAGACGCTCGCTTTGCTCGGAACCCAGCATGTTGTTGCTAGCTTGGGTGGTCTCACCGATCTTGCTGGTTGTCAACTCCATGGAACATTCCGCTGTGGAATGCGATGGGCTGCAGATACCTACTATACTGTTGTAGTTACGGATTTGTGGAGTCACTCTGGCCGGGCTGGCCTCCGTTGGCGAGGTGGGGCCGGTGGGGGGCCCGCGGTTTGGGCGCAGTAGCCGCAGACCGGGGGGTGAGAGAAGACGAAGGGGCACTCCAGGAAGACGGCACGCGGGCCGTGTTGATAGCTGCTGCCACGGCGCACGCATTTTTATTCCTACGCTCTTCGCGGGCTCACGCGGTGTGGCACAGCAGAGTAGAACAGCCTCCTCCCTTCAAGGAATTAGTCCCCCTGTGTACCTTCTGCCGTACCCACCAAAGTCGGTCAGCTTTGTAATTATCTCTTGTTTTTGTTTCGGGCAGCACACACGCCTGTTGCTTTGAACGTGCCGTCGTGCACGCTTGCTCGTGCTCGAACGCGGTGCCTTTTGCCGTTCTGATCTGAGCGCCTCTGGCGCCCGAACCGCGCAGCATCAGTTGAAGTTCAGCCGCATGCGTTCACCTCCGCCCTTGCCGCAAGAATGGCTGGCGCTGCACAGCCAAGCAACATGAGAGATTAAGGACGGTTTCGTCGCTTCCTCGCTATTGCATTGCTAGTACTAGGAAAGGCACGCAATACGCACACTTCCAGTATCAGAGGGATATTTTATCTTGAAAAGATATGTACGCGCATCTCACGTGTCGCTTACTTACGTTACGACAACAAGCCCATGTGCTGAGGAACGCTAGAGGGAACCCTACACAGCATGGATTCTGGAACTGCGCACCATACGCTGTTCGATGCAAGGAACCCATGTTCTCCGGGCGGATTGATGCGACTTGCTTGGTATGTTTTTCCTCTGTGGTCTCTTTCGGCAGAAAATTCAGCATGCACTAGACTAGAACTCTTGTGGACGTGTCTTGAACGGCGCGTTGAATACGCGAAGATGATTTTCTGCGGGCGCCACGACTGCTGTATGCGTTGGATTCCTTGAGAAGACGCTCGTTTTCTGTGCACGCAGGCCCTCTAGACGTATTTCGCATTACGTGAGCATGAGGAACAAGGCGTACATTTGTTTCTTCCGGGCCCAGCAGCTCCTCCGTACGTGGGATGGGGAGGAAGAACGAGAGGAGGATGAAATACACCACCAAAACCACGCACGACTATCTCCGGCGGCACATGCATCACGATCTGCATGAGGCCGACTGCGTCAACCTACTTCCTACACTTCTCGAATTCCAAAAGTCTGAAGAATCGGGAGGCAGGATGACTCTTGGCCAACTTTGTTCATTCTCCACAAAATCGCTCATTTATTTCGTGCTGACGTGTGCATGCGCCCAGGGTAAAACTGCAGCCAAACACCTCGTAGGTGAGTTTTCGCTTCTCCGGAGTCCTCGTCGACAAGTCCCCGCGTCTGCTTATCAACCAACGGACCCCCTCCCCCCCCGCACACACACAAAACGCCTTTGACGCAAATCGCGGGTACGCGACTTTCTGCTCCAACGCATAATTTCCGGGACACACGAACTGTTAATCTACTAAAGTTTTGAAGGATCGAAACACGCGCACTGGACGTATCCTAAACCAGAGAATATTCAACAACACACCAAGAGCTGACATCCGGCATCCATCCATTGACATCCACGTTTCACAGCTACGTACATCGATCAAGATCCAAAGGGTTTACGTTGTCTGGACAGGCACAAACATGGACAAAACGTGGCTCTAAGCCCCGGCGGTGATCTCGTTCTCCCTGCCAAAAGGTACACGAATATACTAGACATCTCAAGCATTCGCACCCCTTTGCCTGACCCCAATCCCAACAAGAGGTAGGAGCTTGGGTGCTCGGGTCCTTGTTTCCGCCTGAATGAGAGCACATTTTACATTTACATGTGCCTGTGCAAGCTAATGTACACGAAACGACGAGGTTGGGGGCCACCAATTGATAAGGGGCGGGGTGGGGGAGAGACACAATCGCAGTCGGCAACAAAATAACAGTTGGCAGAGCCAAGCCGGCAAAGTCGCACGAAACCGTTACACGGCGGTCTGCCCGTCGAGCACAGTTCTTGTCATGCCCGCGCGCGACCGCGATCGCGAGATAGCCGCTCGTCGTCCCGACCTTGGGAGTGCGCGTGCGGGTACAGATCCTCCTTGCTGTCGACAAAGAATCTTCTCCCTCTCTTCCTGGCCGGACGGTGCCTACAACGCATCACCGACGGACGACATACACCTTTGGACCCGAAACACGGAACATCGACCACTCATTCCAAAGTCCACGAGGGAAAGAAAGGAGGGAGGGGGGGGGGGG